GGCTCAGGCCGGGGCTCAGGTCTATGTGTGGGCAGAGAGCCTGGTAAGGAAGGTATATCAGGAAGTGAAGACCTGAATTTGGGTGTCCTGGCTTCTCTCTTCCTTTCCCTGAGGAAATACCTTGAAAATGATACCCCCTCCCTCAGAAGCCACCTCACCTATGGGAGGCCGAAGGGTGACTTGTGGGGCACGTGGCTGGCTGAGGGACACTCTAGGTGGCTCCTGGCCCAAGGGTCTGGTGTTGTAGCGGAGGTCAGAGGCTGAGTAGTGGTAACCAGGGCCAGCTGGACAGATCTCTCGAAAACCCTCTGGGAACAGGAAAGGGGGAGAGTTAGAAGAGGGCCCAAGAGGTGGGTATATGAAAAAGAGGGAATCTAAAGGTGGGCCTTGGCTGGGTGTGGGGTTTAGGCTGAGAGTGCGTCAGGTGTTTGGCTTGGATGCTACAATGGCAAGGTGCCCTAGCAAAAGAATTCAACATCTCAGAGGCTAACGGTGGGACCATGAGAGCTTTTCCCCATTTGGGATAGGCAGGGAGTGGGGTTGAGGGCAGAGTTTGGTTTGTGGCCTGTAGGGACCAAATTGAACATCAGAAAACAGCTCTTGTGGGGCTGTTTTAGCAGAAGTTAGAATGCCAGGAAGGGTCATGTCTTAGGGGGCCCTAAAAGGGGAGCCCAAGCTGAAGGCAGTGTCTCAGGAGCCTGGGACTTGGCCAAAGCTCTGGGATAGGGTTGCATATTTTGGGGACTGAGGATGATTCTCAGGAGACAGCCCAGTTGCAGGATGGTGAGCCTCAGGGTGATGGAGCAGGTGTGGCTAAGGATGGAGGGGAAGTCCTTAGTGGAGTCCATTGGGCCTCAGAGGTTGAGGGCCTGGCTGACGATAGGGCCCAGTGGGGTTAGAATGGTAGTGAGTCGCAGAGCTTAGACTGAGCACTCTGTGAGTGGGGCTAGGCTCATCAGAAGGCACTCACCTGAGCCAAAAGGTGGGCAGAGCTGGCAGCCTCGACCCCAGGCCTTACCCACACGGCTACAGCAGCAGATCTGCTTGGTGATGTTGCGCAGAATGGGCAGAGAGCAGCTGCCATCTCGGAGCACGCGGAAGCAAGGCCCCTTAGCCTCTGAGATCACGTGCTGGGCTGGGAGAGGGGAAGGAAATTCTTCAGGGGCTAGGGAATGCTTCAGAACTGAGGGATTTGGGAGGTAGGGGATTGGTCCAAAGAGGGTGAGGTGGGGGTGTTGGGCATTTGGGGTAAGTCTAAAGGGTCTGAAGAAAAGCTGAGGGCTCTGGGGGCTATGGGATGAGTTTGAGGGGTCAAAGAGAGAATCTGAGAAAGATCTCAGGATCTGAAGGTGATGTAGTAGTCGAAGGGAAAGGCTGGATTTGGAGGTCTAAGAGGAACTCAAGACAGTTTGGAAATCTGAAGGGATCTGGATCCAAAAGCTTTGGATTTGAGGGACTGGTGGAGAATTTGAAGACTCGCAGGAAGTCATCTGAAGGTATAGGAGAATCTGATAGGTTCTGAGTGTGATCTAAGACGAATAGAGGAGGGACACGGGTTGGAAGGATCTGGGGGGTCTGAGGGAATTAAGCGTTCAGGAATGCTCTGAGATGTGGTTTGAGGTCAGGGATGGGGGTGGTTTGGGACCCTGCTTCAGCCCCATGTTGGCAACTCACAGATGCAACTGCTGCGGGATGAGTCGAGCAGAAAGCCATCGGGGCACACACACGTGTACCCGCCGCGCGTGTTGGCACACTCCCCGTGCTGGCAGCGCCCACCTGTGGCGCACTCATCCACATCTGTAAAGTTTGGGGAAATCATCCTAAGTCGGGGATTTGATTCAGCCCCGTCCTTAGAGCCAAGACCCTCTCTCGCGTGCTCCTCACCTTCGCAGGACCCATTAACCCTCTCGAAGCCGGCTGGACAAGGCCCATCTGCAACACCAACTCGGTTGGAGTTCCCTGTGGAAAAAGGCAAGAGGTGGGCTGGGCGGTATGTGGGCGGAGCCTAAGTGGTGGGAGGGACTGAAGGGTGTTGGGTGTAGTTTGAAGTGCCTTAAATTGGCACTGAGAAAATAAATACCGAGGCTCCAGAGGTGAATGTATGGGGATAAAAGCAGGTTGAGAAAAGAAGTTGCCAGAGTTAGAAAACGAGGTGGTTGACACTGAAAGGTATGGATAGCTCTAGACTTGATCCCCACAACCGGGTAGAGGTAACTAGAATTTGTAAACAGGATTTATCTATGGGCAGAGTATGGAGAGGGAAGTTCGTCTCCCTCCTTGATTCCGAGCACCTCGGAGACCTCTTGGGGCTTACCCAGGTGCTCTGAGCAAGGCTGACAGTCATGAACCCCCCAGGCCAAGCCGGTCTCTCGACAGCAGACCTCTTGAGTCCGAAGTCCGGGAAGCGGTGACGCACACTGTGGGGAAGTGTTGGGTGAGCGCGCCCCCGTGCGGTGGCATGCTTGGGACCCCTCCCCACCGGCCTACTCTCACTTCGCTTCCGCGCAGCTCCCGAAAACAGTAACCATAGCCTGAAGCATCGGAGTAGCCGTCCTCCCGTGGTGCGCTCTGTGCCAACACCGTGTAGGGCGCCGCCGCCTCCGCTCGCGCCACCGCCTCAGCCCTAGCCACCGCTTCGGCGTCCGTCTCTTCCCACGGCCCAGACACACGCTCCACCTGGTGCACCACCACCGAGGCCTCTTGTGGGTGTTCCACATGCACGCTCACCATAGACGCCACGCCTGGAAGGAGTCAGAGCGGGCAAAAGAATGTCCACAAGGGTTCTTATAGACTGGGGCTAGAAATGGATGGGTGAGCTGGTGAAAAGTACTTGAGAAGACAGCAAGATTTGGGTCCGAGGAACAATGAATGAGACGGTTTTCAGAGGGATCCAGGGGACTTTGGCCACACTCTCCTCACCGTGTTCATCGTCGCGATGGTTGGCCAGTGGCATGGTGTACACGGAGCGGGTGAGGCCTGGCATGGCTGGGGCCGGGGGTCGGGCGCCCGAAGAGTGCAACTGGCAGAATTTGCCAGCGAAGTCCGGGGGACAGAGGCAGCGATCAGGCTTCACGCATACGCCGCCGTTGTGACAGATCAATGGACACAAAACTGGGACGGGGAGAAAGTGAGGACACTCAAAGTGAGCACTATGCCTGGCAGATACCCCTGAGGTCAATGCATCCAAGCTAGCTCAGACCCCAACATTGTAAGCAGTCCCTTAAGATATCACTCATTCTAAATCTCTCTGCCTTAGCGGTCTTGTGGTCCCGCCCAACCCCGTCCGTCTATGATATAGCTCCACCCAGTAGGTGGTATCCCCACGCCCTCTGGCTCTTCATTCACTTTCCTTCCATTTGTTTTCGAGTTCCACAGAACCACTTTCTTTCTAGCGGAGTACACGGCGTTACAGCTCCGCCCAGACAGCTCCATTCCCGCCGATTGGCTCAGCCTCCCATAGCCCACGCTAGCTCTTCCTTAGCATTTAGCCCTGCCTCCCGTCGTCTGGCTGGGTCCTCTGCTATTTCAATCCCTCCAAGCCAGTTCTGGTCTCTTCCATCAACTCAAACCTCATCTTAGTTACTCCTTGGCATAATTCCCCGCTTCCAACTCTGTCCCCTTTGCACTCTATGCCCACCCCCATTCTCAGAACCAGTGCACAAGGGTCCAGCTACACCCATTGGTCAGGCCTCCCTTCTAGTCCCGCCCACATCACCTTCCACCAGCCTGATTCTAAACCCCGCCTGATCAAGGCGCCTAACCTGACACCTTTAGCCCCGCCCACCCCCTTTCCTCACTCTGATTTGCTCGGGCTCGCTAACGCCCCTCCCGCTTCACCTCTAGGCTGGCTGGCGTCTTGGTCCCTCCCACCGCCCTTGTCTCCTCCCACTTCCCCTCGGACTCGGGTTCCAAAGTTCTAGCTCTGCCTTCCCGCCTCCGGTAGCACCGGGCGGGGCAGCACGCGGGAACGCGCCTCCTCTCCCCTCTGCGCGCCCTCGTTGGGCCCCAGGCCACCTCTGGGCGGGGCACTGCCAGCTGTGCGGCGGGGTAAACAAAGACAGGGGTGCGGCGGGGGCAGGGCGGCGGCTCCGCATTCCGAACCCTTGGGGAGCCCCGGGACCGTTGAGCCAAAGGAGGCCGGACGTGTCTTTCGAGGGCACCCCCTCCCTTTCTCCCCCCGGGGTTGCCGAAAACAGCTGGAGACAGCTGTGCGCAGGGGAGGGGGCAGGCGGCCAGGCTGTCCAGGGAGGCGAGTATGGGATTCTGAGCCACAACTCTAGAGAGGAAAACACAGGGGAAGACACTTCAATTTAGAAGGGTCAGGGGACAGGAGTTCTGG